AATCCAGGCAACACCTAATATAAAATATATAGACATTTCACTTAAAAGCAGAATTCACTGTATATAGCCACATTCAGCTTTAAGAAAGTTAGATAATTGAATCCTGCCCAGTAGGACCAAGATTGAGTTGTAAGATTCCAAGATAATTCCTTCTTAGTCTTTTTCATGTATATATAGTAGACTCAGGCGTAAAACGTGAAAATAATATTATTGAAAGATCCCTATTAGCCTTTGCCCATTTTGGCGTATGCTTTCCCTCCCATGTTCCTTCTGGCAACAACAATAAGCATACCCTTTAAAAAAAACCAAGGCCAGAATAATTCCAGATCATGAAAAGAAAAAAAAAATGAGTGACTTAGACTTTCATTTTGCCTTTATAATAAGCTAGGTCAATTGGAGATCAGTCCCTGCCAAGATAATAGAAGATTGAAGGTTCCCAGCTAAGCACCATTTAGCTACTCAGAAGATATGCCCCAATGCTAGACCCAAACATTGAGGGTTTCTAAGTGGATAAGTGCTGAGGTCTGTGGCAATACTAATGCAGTGGAGCCAAGAAGGAACAGAGTAACATACCACTGTCATTCAACAGCATCACATGACAAGTTTTATGAGACCAAATTATCATCCCCTCAACACGTATTGTTCCCCTACACAAGTATGTTCTTCCTGAATCTATGTTGAACACCAGAGCCTTACACCCTCTCTTTTATACTTCCACTCTTGTCCGCTTGGATTTGGTTACCTGCTGAGCTCTCATATAACTTTGTATGGCTTCTTGGGTATTAACATCCATCAAGTCTATGCCTTTTTTTTCCAGGAGACCTCTTTTGCTCTGATTCTGCTAGTTGCTTTTTAAATTACCTTTCATATTTTCTGGAAGTGGGATTTCAATAATGGGATTGCCGCCAACTAAGCATAAATACAAGAACTCAGAACCTTGTCACATAGCATCTGAAAGGCTGAAAAGCCCTGTCATAGGACCATAAATTTAGAATAATCATGGACCTTAGAAGGCATCTAATCCGACCCCCTCATTGTGTGGTTGAGGAAAAGCAAAAAAAGACAATGTGTCATAACCTGAGGGAGTAAATGGAAAGCCTGGGATCCAAAATCAGGTCCTCAAATTTCAAATTCAAGTTGTTGTTGTTGTTGTTGTTTTCATTCTTCCAAATTGCCTATTTGTGGGGGGGCATTGGGTGAGCCATATATTCTCATATGTGTCCATAAAAGTAAAATCTTTATAATGAATAGATGAACTATAGGCATAAGAAGACTGAAGCATATAACTAATTATAACTTGTGCCAAAAAGGTATTGTCAAAGGACATGAAAGATAAGAGAAAGAATTGGTCTTATCAAGTGCTAAGAGTGATGGACAATAGATAGGCAATCTAAATGCCACCCTTGTATTCACAAAATGTTAAGAGTACAAGAGTAAAAAAGTCTCCAGAATGTATCGGATGGCTTCTTCATAGAGGATTTATGTAAAGATGTCATAAAGGAATCACAAAGGATAAAGGACATGGAGGCATTGTGTTTTATACCAGTGGAGGGATCATCTCAATGGATTCATTAAAACATTAAAGTCAGTAAAAGGAAGCCTATAACAAGAAATACGAAATCTACCTGCTTAGTCATTTTTAAAGATAGTATCTATATGATAGAGCATCTCTAGCAGAGCATTTCTGCCTTTCTGGTGTTACCAAGTTCATTACCAATTCAAATTCCCAGTGCTGTGGAACTATATTTTAATCTCTCTGTGTGTGAATGTGTCCAGCCAAACAGTTTTCTATGAAATTCAATGAATAAGTCCACTTGGCTTTCAGAGAGTACATACAAGTAAAATATTATCTGATGCTTTGCTACTAATGTGATGCAGAAAGGTCTTTGGGTGCATACAAAATCCCTACAGTTAGCAATATTATATGATGATCAACTGTAAATGACTTAGCTATTCTCAGCAATGTAATGATCCAAGACAATTCCAAAGGACTTATGATGAAAAATGCTGTCCACCACCAGTGAAAGAACTGATAGAGTATGAATACAGATTGAAGCATACTTCATAAAACTTTTAATGTCCTTGGGGTTTTTTTGGGGGGAGGCTGTGTTTTCTTTCACAATATGAGTACTATGCAAATATGTTTTGCATGACTAAACATGTATATCCTATATCAAATTGCTTGCCTTCTCAATGAGAGGGAAGGGAAAAGAGGAAGAGAATTTGGAACTCAAAAAATTTTTAAAAGAATTTTAAAATTGTTTTTATATGTAGTTGAGGGGGGGAAATATGACATTTAAATCCCTTAGGTGGTACAGCGGATAGAGTGTTGGGCCTGGAGTCAGGAAGACCTAAGTTCAAATCCAGCCTCAGATACTTACTAGCTTATGTGACCTTGGGCAAGTCCCTTAACTCTGTGTGCCTCAGTTTCCCCATCTGTAAAATGAGCTGGAGAAAGAAATGGCAAACTACTCCAGTGTCTTTGCCAAGAAAAAACCCAAAAGTGGTCACCAAGAGTCAGGCATGACTGAAAATGACTAAAAAACTACAAAACAGAACAACTTGTGTTTCTGCAGCATTTTAAGGAAAAAGACCATTGAAGATAAACCTGCCTTTTATTAGGTCTCCATTTTAAAAAGATCGCTTAAATATTTGAATAGAAATTGTTGATTTGGTACCCAAGTTTTAGATTTTTTCTGTCTTTTCTCTAGAAAATTTCTTTCTTTTTGCTCCTTACCCTCATGTTTTTGAGGACTAAGAATGAACCTTACATGATTACTCCTAACTTTAGTTAACATAGATTTGTGTTGCCGTACAATTTAGAATTGTTAGGGGAAGAGATAGCCATTGTCACAACAAGCAGTTATCACATAAGATGAGCATAGTAAAATAAGCTTGCTGGCATGTCACTTAGGGGTTCTCTGAAGATTGGCATTAGTTTGTTGTTTGAGTTTGGTATAATTTTATAAAACATAACGTAGCTTTAGAATCATTGACATTGTTTCTATGAATCATAGAACATAGAATGCTAAAGATGGAAAGAACCTTAGAGATTGTCTAATTCAAGCTTCTCATTTCACAGATGAGGAAACCAAGATCCCAAGAGGTAATTATGACTGACAATCATAGGATCATAGAGCTGCCCATCCCTTTACCGGTCATCTGGCCCAGCTTCCTCTGAAGCACGAAATGCCTCTGTTGCAACCTTGGCGAGTGATATCCAACCTCTACTCAAAACTTCCAGTGATACACAACTTACTGTTTCCAAGAACACTTATTTTCTTTTTGGACAGTTCTGGTTAAGTTATAATAATCCAAAGTCTGTCTGAGGAATTTGCATCAAGTTAGGAAATGCAGGCGTGGTGTTACATAGAAGGAGTGCTTACTACTAATAAATAATTTCTTTGTCATCTTAAGATGAAGAGTCTGCTATATTTATAGATTTTAGCTTTCAGTAAGTAATCCTTCCCACCCTGTCTCCAGCACACCCATATGAAGCAATCATAATCCCCCAAATCAATTTACAACTGTAGGTTCTTGATAACTGTGCTGTAGAATGAATTAAGTTTAATATAATTAATCTTTCCAAATAAATTCTGCCAGACAGTATGGATTTGTATTGCAAACAAGAATACTTATTTGGGTTGTTTCTAGATTATGGGGATGAAGTAATTGCTCTGGAGGCTGCTAGGTGGCTCAGTGGATAAAGCGCTGGGCCTGGCGACAAGAAGCAGTATAGCAAAGTGTTGTTATTCACTCTTGTCTATCTCTTTGATTCTTCATGACTAGGTATAGGGTTTTCTTGTCAGAGGTATTGGAGTGATTTACCATTTCATTCTCCAGTGGGTTAAGACAAACAGAGGTTAAGTAATTTGTCCAGGATCAGACAGCTAGTGAGTATCTGAAGCCAGATTTGAACTCAGATGTACCTGACTCCAGGCTCAGCACTCTATTCACTGAGCCACCTAACTGTCTTGGATTAAGGAAAACCTGAGTTCAAATCCAGCCTCAGACACTAATTACATGACCTTGGGCAAGTCACTTAGCTTCTATTTGCCTTAATCCACTGGAGAAGGAAAAGGCAAACCACTCCAGTATCTTTGCCAAGAAAACCTCATAATAAAGTCATCATGAAGAGTCGCCAAATGACCAAACAACAATAATTGCTCTGTGTGAAAATGGGCATTTCAAATACTGTAACATATGTAAGAAATTCCATGTTGACTAATGGCTAGGTAGCGAGCCTTGGAGTGAAGAAGAGCTAGGTTCAAATCTTCCTCTGATGCATTTCTGCTTTGTCATCGTGGATTGGTCAGTGCTCAGATAGCTGTCTACAACTCCACATTGCTGAATTGTTTTGGTGAAGGGAGACTCCACATTGGGAATTCTGGTGTGGGGATGAAGTCATGTATCTGAACGAAAAAAAACCCCTCCAAACAGAACTCAAACATATCAATATTTGTGAAGAGTTGTTAAACTGTCAATTATCTCTAATGCATTAAAATCTAATTGTAGAAAATAATGCTCCATTGCCTCATTACAAATCTAAATGAGCAGGATGAGGCAGTGAGAGGAAATGGATTTCCTGAACATAAGGGTTCTGGGAATTGTCCTATTCCACCTACCCTGGCAGGAGAATTGTCAGCCTCTGTTTTCCCTTCAGTAGACTTTCAAAAGGACTGAAGAATGGATGCCTCTAGTCTGTGATTATTATATGTGTCCAGCCTCTTAAGGGAGGGGATAGAAAGGATGAGAGACTGTGACCATGATGGAAAGAATCATGCTTATTTTTGTAACTCAGGGGATTCTTTTTATGATGTTGTCAGCTCTACTCTATTATACTGTTCAAGCATTTCTCCATATCACACTTCCAGACCAATTTGTAGTACAGGTTGTAGAGATTATTTTATCACAAAAAAGCATCTCGTATTGTTCATATGCATTGCTTTTTTTTTTAAAGCATATATACCAATACCAGTTCACTTTTGCTTCCTGCTTAGGAGTGATTGGGTGACATCTTACAAGGTGATGGTTAGCAACGACAGTCATACTTGGATCACTGTTAAGAATGGATCAGGAGATATAGTAAGTATCACTTATAGTTGACATGGTTAGAATCACAGAAATTTGGCTAGTGATTATCCAACCTCTACTCAAAACCTGCAGTGATGTTAGGGATCAGGTCCTGTAGTTCCTCCTCTCTTCCCTAGTTTATAGATGATGAAATTGAAATGATGTCTAGAGAGGGGAAACAGTTTACTCAAGATCATGTATATTGTTAATGGTAGAACCAAAGCTTAGAACTTAGGTGTCCTGATTCCCACTTGACCATCCTTTCCATTGCACCATGATACTCACTCAAGAAAGTCTTTAAATGGGTATATATCTATGTATGTAATACATAGGTGTAGATATGTATGGCTATATATATGGCTATATAAATATAAGTATGTAATATATATATATATATAATGTATGTGTATATATATTTATATATAAATTAAAAGGTGACTACTGAATTTATTAGATATATTATTGGTAGCCACGTAATAGACACACCAGATATGGTTATGCCTAGTATACAATGTATTTATTAGTGTGATGATTCTCTTATATTTCACTCAAAAATGAAGGCAAGGGGGAATGATTATACATGATTAGGTTCTGGTTCACCATCCTTAGGAATTTTCATTGGTCTTTGAAATGCTTTCCCTCTTTTTCCTCAAGAATGAAACTCACTCTGAGTTATCCACTACCATGGAACTTAATTACACAATACGGTCAAAAATGTTATTAAAATCTGGAAACCTCCCTGGTAACTACGTTATTTCTTTCTTTCTACCAGCAGTGGCTTATTTATGCCTATCTCTACAGACCTGTGTTGGTCAAGTGCACCTTTAGGACAAAACCACGTCTCTGACTCCCTTTTCTATCACCCAAGATACCCTTTTATGCTCTGTGTTTATTATAGGTGCTCAATAAATACTTTTTTACTTGACTGATTTTGCACCTAACTGAAGGCCTTGCCCTGACCATACCATCTCATTGCTTGAAATTGTCATTGCACATCCTGAATTTCTCACCTAAATCTTTTGAATTCAAGAAGCAAATTGTCATAGTGTATACAGAACTGACATTGCAATTAGGGAGACCTAAATTTAAGCCTTGTGTTTGGCACATGCTAATGCTATGAACCTGGAAAAGTAACTTGACCCCTCAGTATCCCACGTACCTCTCTTGTGATGATAGTTGAAGAGTAGAAGCCAATCTGCCCTGATGCATCAGGAGTTCCCCATGTCAAAGAAGTCACATGAATGGTCCCCAAAGAACATTTCTTAAATCCTTATGCAAAGTCCTCACTCCAATGTTTTATCATGACAAGTAGGAAACCTGGACTCTCAAGAACCATTTGGTCTTCTCATCTGACAATGCTTACGAAGAGGTTAAGTGGGAGAGTTGCCATTGAGAAGGCTATTGCAGCATATGTGGCACTTTTGATTGCAGAGTTGGAGAAATAGAGAAATTCTACAAAGAACTTTGCAAGATCCTTCACACCAAGTCATTACGTACATTGATTCTTAATGATTTGAGCTCAAAGGTGAGCATAGGAGAGGATAGTTAGTCAGTTAACATTTATAAGTACCTACTATGTGGCATGCACTGTGTTAAGCACTGGACAGTGAAAAGTATGTTGGGAAATTGTTTCAAGGTTAAGAAATGAATTAAATGAACATTAGTAATCATCTAACTTAAAAGATTCTTAATCTATTTTTGTATCATGAATCTTTTCAACAGAAACTTATAGAGCTATTCTTAGAATTTCTTTAAATGTACAAAATAAAATACATAAGAGTACAAAGGAAACCAATTTTTTTTGTTTTATTTTTTTTTAGTTTTATTAATTTATTTGATTTAAAGGAAACCAATTTTATTGAAATACTTTTATCACAGTATTTTTTTTAAGTCCAAGGGCTCCAGTATAAGAACCACAGATCTGTTTCAACCTTTCCATTTACTGGTGAGGAAACTGAGACTCAGATAAATAAATGACCTGTGTAATGCCTCTGAGGAAGTCCATGGTAGAGCTGGAACTGAAACCCACTCCAAGGCAGTTCCCAATGCACCATACTGTCTCCACTTAGAATCTAATTCCCGTCTCCCTCCATGCCCACCTTTTAACTGGAAGCGAGCTTGCCTTTCTGTGAACTCAGTAAGCTTTTCCCATAACCTCTCCTAAGTATTTATAATGTTCCAATTTCCTTTACAGATTTTAGTGTTTGTTTTATGCCATGGGCTAATCTTCATACTCCTTTATGTCTCCATTAATCACTATGCCCAGAAGAGTGCCTTCAGTAGACAATTAATAAATGATTATTGGATGCTGAGTGACTTAATCAATGAATCAGTAAACGATAGGAACTCCTTTATCTGGCATTTAAGCTCTTCCATGACCTGGTTCTCAGCTGTCTTCCTATCCTTATTTCTTACACCTCTCCTTCATGGTCTCTGTGTTTCAGCCAAACTCAAGGGTACCTGCTCCTTGAACCCAGTACTCAGAATCACAGCATGTGAGAGTTAGAAGGGACCTCAGTGGCTATCTAGTTCTACCCCTACACAGAAGGAATCCCCACCCTAATATAACTGACCAGTGGTCAACCAGCTTCTGATTGAAGATTTCCAAAGAGAGGAAACCTATCACCTCTTGAGAGATCTCATTCCATTTTTGAACAGCTCTGTTTGGTAGGAAGTGCTTTCTTATTTCAAGCCTAAATTGGCCTTCTTTTCAACTTTATTCCTGATTCTGCTCTCTACTAGAATAAGCTTAGTCCCTCTTTCTCATGACAGCCCTCCAAATACTTGAAGACAATTATTATTTCCCTATCCCTATCCCCCACCTCAATGTTTATAGGCTAAGCATCCCCAGTCCCTTTAACCAACCCCCATGTGACACCTGATCAAGTCCCTTCACCCTCCTAGTTGCCCTCTTCTTGATCCTTTCCAGCTTATCAATGTCCTTCTTGAATTGCGATGCCCCTAACTGAACACAATACTCCAGAGGAAATCTATATGGTTAGGGTAGGATGCAATAGAACCACCACCTCCTTATTCCTGGAAATTATGTCCCTCAATTATACCCAGGATCACATGAGATTTTTAGGATTCCAGATCACCCTGCTGATTCATATTGAGCTTTTAGTCCACTCAGACCCTCAGGTTGTTCTCCAAGTACCTGCTATCTGTCCATTCCTCTTCAATGTTATACCTGTGAATTTGATTTTTGTTATGAAGTGCAATATTTTACATTTTTCACTTTTAATTAAATGTATTAATTCATTTTGAAAACTATCATCCACTATCTCTCCCCACTTTGTGTCATTTGCAACTTTGATGAGAAACCATCTCTTGCCTCTATCGAAGTCATTGACAAAAATGTTAAACAGCACAGAGCCAGAGACAGATTCCTGTCTTTAATGACTATTCTTTGAGTCTGGAGACCCATATTCTACTTCTGTTCTTTGGCACAAGCCATTCCCTAAGCCTGAAACACAGTCATTCTTTATTTCAGAATCCATCTCTTCCTTCAATGCTTAGATCAGTTGCCACCTTTTCTGTGAAACCTTTGCTACTCTTACCGAGTAAAGATACTCTCCTTTTCCTCAGTATTCTTTATAGTGTGTTCATTTATGTACTTGTTGTATCTCCCTAGTAGAATGTAAGCTCCTTGAGAGAAGGAAATACAGCCTTTTTTGCCTTTGTATCCCAATGCCTTGGTTGTTGTTCAGTCATTTAAGTCATAGCAAACTCTTCATGACCCCACTTGGAGTTTTCTTGGCAAAGATACTGGAGTGGTTTGCCATTGCCTTCTCCAACTCATTTTACAGATGAAGAAACTGAAGCAAACAGGGCTAAGTGACTTGCCCAGGGTCACACAGCTAATAAGTGTCTGAGGCCAAGTTTGAACTCAAGAAGATGAGTCTTCCTTACTCCAGGCCTAGCACTCTATCTACTGTGCCATCTAGCTGCCCTATCCCAGTGCCTACATAGTTCCTTACACAGACCCTATACTTGATCAGTAATGGAAAGGAATGGAATCACTATGCCCCAACTGTTTCATATGCCTAGTAGAAAATTGTGGGAAAAAAGTTAGTTTTACTTTAACTGACAAGCTATCTAATCCTCATCAAAACCATATATTTCTCCTTTGTTCTCAAATAGATATTTGAAGGAAACAGTGAAAAAGAAATCCCAGTCCTTAATGAGCTTCCAGTTCCAGTGGTGGCCCGCTATATCCGCATAAACCCTCGGTCATGGTTCGATAATGGGAGCATCTGCTTGAGACTGGAAATTCTAGGTTGTCCATTACCTGGTAAGTGACATCTTTGCTTAATGTCTGACACTCAGTCAGTCAATCAACATTTATTAAGTGCCTTCTATATTCCAGGAACCACTATGCAAAGCACTAGTGATACAAAGAAAGGCAAAATCAGTTCCGCTCTTCAGAGACTTATGGTCTAATGGAAGAGACAGAGAACAGACAGCTATTTACAAACAAGTTAGAGATAATGATAATGCTGTTTCATTTACAAAGCATTTTATATGATTATCTCATTTAATTGTCACATCACCTCGTCAGGAAGGTGGAACAAGTATTACGATCCATATTTTATAGGTGAGGATAGTTTATCCAGAGCCCAAAGAAGACCATAGATGTAAAACTGGGAGGGACCTTGGCAACCATTGAGTCTAACAATTTAACAGATAAGACTAAAGCTCAGGAAAGTTAAATGTCTTGCCCAAGGTCGTGAAATAAGCATCCATTGGACCTGCTCAGCTAGTGTGACGGAGCCCATTCAAGCCCATATAGTCTCACTCCCTTTCCAGTGCTTTTCCCACTAGGTCATAACTAGCCAGTGCATAAAGAAAAATGCAAATCCCCATCTGATATGTGAAAATACCTTTCTTGTTAAGCGTCAGAATAAAACGGTAGCTGTAGTCTGTGTGGTTCTCTGTCAACAAAGGCATTGTCAAAGCATAATACACGGTACTGTATTAAGAAAAACCAAGACACAGCTGGCTTCTTAAACAAAACTGATGATTACCTGCAGCTGTACATGTGTCAGAGTAGAAAACTCATGGTGCCATTTAGTTCAACAAAGATGCTTTTTGTTAGTTTTAAAGAACAAAGGTCAGGTGGGTGTCTTTTCCAGGTTTGTGCCTTTTTAAGGTGGAAGGTGATGGTTGGCACCTACGGGGACTGAATAATAAATGTTCCATTGTGAAGTGACGCTTGGTCTATGGCTGTTTGAGGATAAGTAGCTCCCTCTGCTTAAAGATGACTTTTATCATAGAGAGTCATACTTGTGTGGATAGCAGTATTTACCCTTCTACACTGACTGATTTAGGGGAAGCTAGAAGGAAGGGCTGTTGACCTCATTAGACTGGACATAAAACATGTATACATATGTGTCCAGAAAACAAGTGCTGCAAATTGCATGAGTTTTGTGCAAACCTAGACCCTCTCTTCTATCCTATATTATTAAACCCTTCAGCCTGATCCCTGGAGATCAGCTTTCTTTGACTTGCTTCTCAAATTATATTTGATCCTGCTACCAAACTCCTCTTCTGGATCCAGATACCACCTTTTGCCTCTGGACCGTCAATATAGCCCTTCATATCCCTAGCAACCACTCTGGCTTTGCACAAATATTCTGATATTTCTGGTCATCCCTAAGTAAGAATATTTTTCTTTTGTTTTTAAATTTTTAAAATTTTTATTTATTTATTTGTAACATTCCTTTTTTAAAATCTTGAGTTCCCAACTTTCTCTGATCCTCAGGCTGCCCCCTCACCCATGAGAAGACAATCAACATGATAACAATTATATGTGTGAAATCATTCAAAATATATTTCCATATTAGCCATGTGGCAAAAAAGGACCCAAGAAAAATAAAGTAAAAAAATACTTCAGTTTGCACTCAGTTTATCAATTTTCTTGCTGAAGGTAGATAGCATTTTTCATCATGAGTCCTTCAGGATTGTCTTAGATCACTGTATTGATAAGAGTAGCTAGCTAGGTCTTTCACAGTTGAGCATGATTATGGCATTGCTGTTACCATATATAATGTTCTCCTGGTCTTCTCACTTCACTTTGCACCAGCACTTCTCAGTCTTCCCTGGTTTTGCTGAAACCATCTCCTTCATCATTTCTTTTTTTTTCACATTTTAAAATATTTATTTTAAAAATTCTTTCCATTTTAAGTTTTGAGTTCCAGAGTTTCAATTTGGGTTCCAGATTTTCTCTCTCACTCCTAGCCCTCATGCATCCACTCAGAAGGCAAACAATATGCCTGTCGTTTTTTGTAGCATAATAGTATTCCATCACAATTATACACCACAACTTATGCAGCCATTCCTCAATTGATGTGCATCCCCCCAATTTCCAATACTTTGCCAAGTAGGATTCTTCTTTTTGATGACTTTCTTTGTTTCTGGCACTGAAAAGTTTTAGCTTGGGTCATGAATAACTCTCACCTACAGCCCATGGGGGGCCCATCACCTACCGTTCTGAGGGGTGGAGCTAGGAGGATTTATTTAACCAATCATTTTATTTTAAATAGTTAAAATTTAGATTTTGATTGGGTTTCATATGTGACAGATCCTTTCTGAACACCTCCTTGTCATCTACCAACTTGTACTCTAAATTGTAATCGCGCTCAGCTGCCAAGTCTTTCCCCTTGGCAAGGAGACTAAGCTCTTCTGGCCAAGGTCATTCTGATACTCTCTCAGCATTCTTGTTATTGTGTTGCATCAGACAAACTTTTCTAAGAAATGATAGTTGTTAACAGCTTCCTTCTCAGCATGTCTGGTTCTAGGCTCTGGTTCTTTAAAACAGAACAAATGAGAGCTACTGTAATTGTTCACAGCAGGTTGTTATTTCTCTCTTTTCTTCTTATCTAGTGTTTACTTTGATCTTTCCTCTTGATGAGCTAACTGTATACAATGAAGGGATGCTGAAATGATCTGTAGGGTTTATTAACCAATCACTTCTGGTCTGTTTAGAGATTTGTTGGTTTCATTTTTTAAATGTTGCCCTTTGACCCTTCCCACACCCAGCCCCCTTTGACTCACTTTTTGAAGGGCACTATTCCTCTTTTAGATTATTGTGAGATCAAATTAGTTTTCCTGGTTTTCACATCTCAATGCTGACACCTCTTGAGCTTGTTTCTATAAACTGATATCACACTGTAGTGGAGTGAGATTCCTGAGCAGTCTGTAAAGCCTTTGACTCTGTTAATTCCTTAATTCCTGAATCACATTTTCCAGCATTGCTTTCATCATTCCATAATTTGGAGAATTTTGTCAAATTCTTCATAGAATTTCTCTCTTCGGCCTCCATGAGAGATGTAGGCAGCTAAACTTCAATTATCTTTAAAGTGACTACATTGCTTATGCTCCCTGTGAGCTCAGCAAGGTGAGATGACCAGATGCCTCATGAAATATTTCTCTTTACTAGTGAGCTCATGATGAAATCAATTTCCCCATCTTCTTTATTCATTTCTCTGAGGAGGACCTATGAAGGAGGAAGAGGGAACCTATTATAGAGATGTGTCATGTATATTCTTTCTATCTGTCACTTATAAATTTTCCTGAGCTGAATTTCAGGCTTCTATAGAAGCTTAAATTTGGATTGAATTTCTCCATCCAGATTCAATTACAGCCAAATCCTGTCAAATTCAGAAGTGCAAATCTTTATGAAAAACAGTGTTTATACTTAGCTAATTACCTAGTGAGTGTAGTTATTGCTACTAGAGTTTGAGAGTCAAGTGAATTCAGGCTAATGCCTTCTGTATGCCAGGCCTTGTTTTGGGCATTGAAGATATAAAGACAACAAAGGAAAAAGAGTATCTATCTGTCCTCAGGGAGCTTACATTCCATTAGGAGATATATGTGTATACACACACACACACAAATTCTAACCTTTGCAAGGTAATTTGGCAGTAACTAGCAATTTGGATTGGTAAGAGAAAGGGGTATGTATGTTGATTTATAGCTAAGTTAATTCTTGTCAGAGGGAGGAAGAGTGGTTGGGAGCACAGGAAAGTACTTTTTTTCTATTTTTCTAGTGTCTGAGCTATTCCTATATTTCTGTCTTCCTAGGGTTTCATATTGTTTATTCTAACCACTGTCTTTTCCTGACTTTCATTGACAAGTTCTGTTTTCTCAAATCAGAAAACATGTTATGACATTTGGAGGCCTCTTTTTTTTTCCTCCCAGGTAATTGGCTTTTGTGGTGGACATGAAAGGTAAGAAAGAAAAGCCAGAGGGAGGAGAAGAGACAGGGCACAGATGAATAGGAACAGGAAAGCAAAAACAGCATTTGAGACTTCTTCCCAGAAATTTACCCTTCACAGGGAGTTCTTGGGGTTAGGAAGCACTGCCCAGAGTAAGGGGTATGTATATACCAAATGGGTATAATTAGTAGTAGAAGAAACAGGAGCGGACAACATAAAGATGCAGAGTATAGGAACCTGAGAGTGTCAGTGCACTAGAAACCCTATCTATAGGATAGACCAGGAGGCATCTGAGGGAATTTTTTTTAATGAGCAGATTCTCTGAGAGAAGTTGGGGAATTTCCACTTTGCAGCATTTAATGGTTTTTCCATCATCTTCTAGGTAGGCCATCACAGAGGAAGGGCTCACATAGGACCAAAATGATTCAGGGTGTTGGAGGAATAAAGAAATAGTGGGACTTCAAGTCACCAAACACATTTGTCAAGTGCCTACTAGAGACACTTGTTCTACTTGGCTCCAGAGGATGGAGCTAGAAACAATATGGATGGAAGTTATAGAGACATTTTGGCTCATTGTAAGGGAGAAAAAAATGTCCTAACTATTAATAATTATCACAAAGTGTAATGACCTGCCTCAGAATGTAATGGGTTTGTTTTGTGTTGTGTTGTGTTGTTTTTTACCCCTAGAAGCATTCCAGGGAAAGCTGGATGGCTGGGGACTTTGTAAAGGGAATTCCTGTTCAGATGCAGGTTGGATTGACTGGCTTCTGGGATCCTTTCCAATTCTGAGATTCTGTCTTTCCTTTTAGGTCTTACTTTTATATATCTTCTGGTTTCATTTATAACTAATGTTACTATGGATGTGAACATATGATTCTGTTTCTTAATTTGGGAGTAACTGGACAGAAATCATCTGTTGAGAATATCAGTGGAACTTCTTGAATTCTTCACAGTGATCTGGTCTTATTAGAAATAATCAAGAAAACATCACATTTCACTTTGCTGTATCTTTTGCCTGATGTCCTATATGGGAAAGTGGAAATGATATTGAAGAAGGTGAACTTGAGGAGGGATA